CAATTTCAATAAATCAGTCTATAATTGCATAAATATCCACAGTATAATTATTAGATTATTGAAATGTTTATAAATTTATGGGAGGTCTCAATTTGCAAAACACAATCATATAAGAATGTTAATGAAGTTTACCGACATTCTTATGCTACTATTAACATAATAAAACTTCTAGTATAATAACTTCTGTCCAATTTTAATAAATGAGAGCTCCAGACTAAAATTTTGCATGAATATTTAGTTAACCTATATTAGAATGTCTAGTATAGGTTGTATATTCGATTTATACAGTAGACCGAAAAGAACACATGGAGACATATCGATTCGGTCACGTAACGCGATTGTAGAGTGCAGTGGGCACAGTTTTTTGCGATAGTTTATTCCATTGTTAAGGGGTCATGCTCAGTCAGAAACTTTCAAAAAATGGATTTTTCAGTTTCTACATTTTCAAGTACAACATCTCAAGAATATTCTGTGCAAGTTTCAAAGGTAATCCAATTAAAAATTAAAGAGTTACAGGCGTTAAAAAATGAACATTTTATATAAGTGTAAGCTTAACTTGAAACTGTAAACGCGTTTTTCTCGAAACTACATTTTTCAAATCGGTGATCAATATTTCTCGAAAACTACTGTGTCGATTTACATGAAATCTTTTGAGCGCTATTTCAAATCAGAAATTGTCCTTGAACGAAGGTTTTTTTTGTTCGTTCTATACTCTTTTTTAAAATTGACCAAAAACGAGTGATTTTTAGGTGAAAATCGTACTTTTTCAGGAAAATGTCCGCCATTTTGTTCCTAATCAATATTTCGAAAAACCCCACGTTCAAAGACAAGATTGGTTCTTCCATTACATAAATCTTACTGAATTTTTAATTTCAGATGACCCGTTACGAATTTACAGTGATCACGGCAGACCACTTTTTGCGAAGAAACATCCGTGAGATCGCTCACAATTTATTTACTAATAAATATTTTTAAATAAAAAATGTATGTTATAATCTAGAAAGAGCAATCTTTAAAACACAAACGCGTTTTTTGAAAAAGGTCTTATAGTTTTGGAGAAAAAAATTCCCAAAGAACACTCTTTTTTCAGCCTCCTGACTGAGCATGACCCCTTAAGTCTCATCTAGCTTGGAAAATAAGAGACCGCGATGAACAACTGACCGGGAATGAAACCTCTGTGATATAGCAAGGATGATGATCTCGTCGTGAGGTGGTCGACAGAACTCGATTATAAAGACTACTGTCCATTAACGTCGTCCAAGATCGTTAACCAAAGACCAAGTTGAAATTTACTATACGGGGAACGGTACCAGAGTTCTCCAGGAACGACCACCAAAACGATCGCGGCTCGTAAGCGGTCGATGAAGGAATCGTGACCCACGATCATCCATGCAGGGCATCTAGCCGACAGGCGGTGTCCAGCTGAGAGCCATCGGCGTCGGGTCGGTAGCCGCGTTTTTCATCGGCGTGTCGGGGGCCTATTCAAGTGTTGGCAGTTTTTCACGCGGCAGGCGACAAATATCCCCACTAAAATCCTCCTTAGATGAGTCCCTACGTGGCCGGGGCTGTCACGCCGGATTCTATCCTCAGCGGGCATTCACCATGTTGATCTCACGCCGGTAACAACAGGCCACGTTTGCGACTCGTGTGCTCCTTTACCGAAATCCTGCTCCGCGATCGTCTAGCCAGAGGTCCCGGGCGTGCGCGGCGTTGGCCGTTGAACGGTTGAACACGTGTGATCGTATCGGGGAGAAATTCCAGGATCAGCTACCGGTTGGAATAGCTTCCATGGATCGTCTTTCCTGTTTTCTGGTCCAATCCTCGCGGAATCTTCGCGCCAGAATACAATTACGTACCTAGTTGTCTATTCTAAGATCGCACGGAAGATCGGCCGGCTAATTGTTGTGGCAGTTACACCGAGGTCTGAGCTGCTCCACCAGGATCCACTTCTGTCGTTGTACGCTTCCGAATCGTCCGTTACGTCAGCATTATGAAGCGATTGACAATGATTCGAGGAAATTCTTTGGGGCTTTGATATATACGTAATTATAGAAAAATTCGTGTAAATACTACCGAATATAAACTGGGTCACACTCTCCGTGAATTAAGTCGGCGAGTGTGTGATATCGCTGCGCCCTCCGTTACGGAAGTTTGTTCCTGATGAATTTCTCAAGTGCTATATCGTGTCTGTCGGTGTACTTTGGGGTTTCGCCAAATATATGGAGTTCGATTCGAGTGAAGTGTTCGAATTGTGTATCGCCCGAAATATCATCGGTCCGGTGTACCCGTTCAACCGTGTGACATTTATTAGCCATAAATTGTGTCGTTCCCCTTGTAATTCTAATAAAAAATCAGTCGAACTGTGAGTCTCCGAACACACGAATAGAATATTTCAATCTTTAAGCAGGATTAGTGTCACGATTCTTCCAACTTACGACGCATGGATTGAGATGACATTTCAAAGTGGCGACACGCAGATATGTTTACGGCGATTCGGTGAGTTATGGTAGAATTAATGACATGTTGAAGTAGCACATAAAAGATCAATCGAGCTTTCCGAAGAGAGACTATTCCGATTAGAGTATTACTTCTTACAGTTTATTTTCTTTTGAAATTACTCTCAATTTACGACACTTCGAAAGTTCTATGCATTTTTGATATTTCACGACCGTGTCTATCAAATAGTCTCTGTTTACGTGTAGTGTCGTACAGTCGCTCCATTTGAGGCAAACATTTAAAATATTAATTGAAATTTATTGTATAATTTACTGTGCACAAAGTTACAATTCAGACAACTAGATAAAAAAAATGTATACTTCGTAAGAGTTAATTATCTGTGTTTTCCACTATTGCAATCACTATTCAGTGAATAAGGGAGTTCGTAAAGTTTATGATGCATTGTATTAGATATTAAATCAGTGATTAATGCAATACGGTTTGTATAATATTATTATTATGTGTAGTCTGTTATTACAGAACATACATATTAATTGATTATTTATTTTAATATAAATTTCTGTTTCATGCAGATTGAAACAAAACGAAAAAATAAACTGATTTGAACAACTTTTATCGTGTGTGTGTGTGTGTGTATATAGGTAGTGGCTGAAAAGCTATAATTACAAAAGAATATCCGTGGTGGTAAGTTTTTAATAAGTATTTAATATCTCGTACGTTTCTTACGAGCTGAAATAAATCCCTCACGTTCATTCGTTGCTAAATTTTTATGTACAGCAGCACATTTTAATGTCATAAAATAAAATTTTAAATCACAGTCTTAAAAAGGTTAAAATATGTTTCCGTTAATTAAAATTCCTGCAAGTTTATGGTTTCTTATCAGAACCGTTCCTGGTAAGAACACTTTTGAGTCATACCACGAATCCTGGTTCGAATCTCAAAGTGTGAACGTCATGGAAATCCTCGGAATGGCGAATTGCCTCCGTAGAGCTCACCTTCGCGATCGGCCTCGATGAGGTCTCTTCTGATCAATACTAGAAATACTGGAAAGACTGGATTTTTCACGGATAGCATGCTGTCGTGTATTACGACTGGTGCCACATAGTCTGCGCCGTAAGAAAGTTTCCTTGTCACCCCACCTTTACCCCACTGCCTCCCTCTTCAAACAGCGAAACATAAGCATCTTAACATTTTCTTCATTACATAATACGAAATTTGAATTTTAATGGACACCACGCCTCTCGATGACATGGATACCATCGTATCGAAGAACGATCAAGCATATTCCTCTGACTAATTTGATGGATGGTCGTTAACGAGGCGACTGGCAAGCGCTGTCAACAGAACGTTACCGTGATTAGCTTCGGAGATTCTATATTCTATACCATCCATATCGAATTTGCAAAATTTTCACTGTGATAGCCAAAATGTAAAATACAGATAATCGAAACAGGTATTAAACATACAATTCCTATCAAATTTGTTCATAAAGAATCCAATACATCAGACTATTAATATTTTATTTCTTTAATTAATATTCAGATCTTAATTCAGTCTCAAGTGAAATGTAAATGCACAATTTTTTACTAACGGCTAACCTAACGCCGCGGCTTGGTTCTTCTTAGGGTTTATAAAAAAACTGACTTATGTAAAAATCCGTTTTCGAATTTTTACGGAAAGAAAGAAAAATACAAAACGTAATTGACAGTAAAGAAGTATTTATGCCTAGTTTAAAATTTTTCAGTTTATTTAATAATTATGGAACTACATAAATATAAGAAACTAACATATACTCCATATAAAACTAAATAAAGTAACTAAAATCTGTACAAAATATGAATTATAAATCTTTGTTTTATTTAGTATTTTTCTTCAGGAAATATGATTTCAGAAAGCACAAAATTTCCACTCAACGATTATTTAATTTTGGTCTTATTTTAAAAAGAAAATTGCCTGAAGTAGAAGATACTTTCTTACATTTCAGGGCATCAAATACTAAATCTAAATTTTTGTTCTTTTACATATTGGTTGCATCAAATACTACAAATTCCGCTTTCAATATCTTGGAATCATGTCAAACATTCGCCTGACTCGTGAAGATTAAGTCTTACAGTATAAACCTTTCCCACAATATGCTTGTGCCCGAGGCGATTTCAAGTAAAAATGTTAAAGTTTTCAATTAAATAATTAATTAATTTGTACATACTAATCCTGATATCTGGAACCAGGTTTTTAAATTAAAAAACCAGTTTTCGGATTTTACAAATTCATCCAAAAAACCGGGTTGTTAGAATCAGTTTTTAAAAACCAAGAGACCCTAGTTATTCTCACATTTGCAAAAAAATTTTGTAAAATTGACCTTCGTAATGACTTGAAACTTTTGCACAGATTTAATACAAAATAATATAGTAATATCTTTCTTTCAGAAAGATGTATTTCGCATTCGAGAGTGTCAATTGTAATTTCACTGTTCCAGTTCATAAAAAGCACGATTAATTGTGTCGTTATAAATTACACCACGATTGAAGTAACTTCACCACCTTCGATTAACACTTTCGAGCGTGTTTGCGTGATTTCGCGTAACACGAATTAATTTTCAGAACATGCTTGCGTGCGAATGTCGGGCACTCTGTACTCGGTCAAGTATCCATTTGAAGCTTCCGTAGCGGCCGCACCAATGCAATTTAACCTCGAAACTCGAGTCGACTGTGTTTTCTGTGCCGTGATGCACGACATGACTCGATATAAGTATATATCGCGTTGAATGGCCAATAATAAATGGGCGGAATCACGCATCGCGTGAAAATGTTACGATCGAAACTCATACATATATTTTTTTCACCTAACGGACCAAAACAAAAGAAATGTCACAGAAACATCACATTGAAAATATCATAATTCTCAATTATAATTTTATGTATTTTCCTTCCTAACAATACCTTGTTGAACGATACCGTGGTTTATTGGTAAAGCCGTAAAGAGCGTAAAAAAAAAAGCGTATTCAAATTATTTAAAAACATCAACTACAAGAACTTGTAGATTTACCGGTCATTCACAAGGAAACTAAATCGTCCCAATTCGTAATAAAATATCGGAATCACATAAGACGTTCCTATAAAATCTAAAATCATCCCAATTTCATAGCGAAGTCATCCCAGAAACTTCCAATACCGTTGATTATAGTAACGGTACGAGGCGGTTCGAAAACTGGCCGTTTTAGAAAATTAAATTACAGGAGCAACAATCTCCGGGGCAATTGGACGGTGGAGTTTAGTATCGCTTCTTATAAAGATTCCGTTGACGCGAGCAGAATAAAGTGAAGATTTTAAGAGGATCGCGGCGTGCCAACGGAATTTCTTCCAGTGCATCGAGACGGTGGATTCGAACGAGGTAGGCGGGATGGCGCGAAAGAAAGGAACGTTTGGTCCACCCCGCTGCTCCGCCAACGAGCCAATAACCCAGTCGAATTAAATCGAACGAGTAATGAACGTTCCTCGAGCGTCACTGGTACCGGCGCGACGCGGGGCGACGCGACTCGAAGGTGCGCACGCTGTAGTTCACCTGTGTTCTCTTGTAATACGAGATGCATTCGCATTACGCAAGCCGTTGCGGCGGCTTACCACACGCAGCAGCTCGTACGCAACTGGGTTATTATTTACAACTCGCGGCGCTCTCCGTCGTTACTCTTAATTTCTTGCGTTTCGCGATTTCCTACGTTTGCCGGCGCGGCGCGGTGCGGCACGGCGCGGCGTCGTAAATCAGCGACATTGATAGAGGAAAATAACAACCTTGATACGAATGTTTTAATCCGTGGGTCGGGGAATTAACGAGTCCGCGATAAACAGCGGACGCTTTCAGGCCGGCAATCCACCGAGAAAGTTTATAGACTGTAGAAAGTGAAACATTCTTTACTAGATCGATAACACCCGGCATCGATATAAAATTACACGCGACAAGGAGAGTATAAACCGCTCCGCGGGACACCGTGTGCTCCCAACTTATACTATGTTAGTTTCTGGATTACTGTTTACCACGCTCTACAATGGTTTGGCACGCTGTTTTAGGAGGTCAAAAGTTTAATTTCGAATATTTGAATTTGACTCCGAACGAATGTAACTGCCTTTATTGCGCTAAATTTCCTCGTTTTTTTAACATTGATACAAGATCAATCATAATTTTTCCATTTTTCGACTTTTGTTTTACGAAAGTTGTCCATGTGCATTTTGATAATAAAACAATTATCATTAATGCCACTTAGATTGTTTTTAAATTTCTCATTAATACATGAATAAATCACTGTGGATATACCACTCGTTTCGAAAGAGCAGGTATCGTGCAAAATCTTAAAAATGTTTCACATGTTTGCCCTACACTGATGGAATCTAAAAACCATAAATATTTTTATTACTCCTGCAAAAATAGGCACCGAGAAATAGTAGCAATTTAATTAGCTAAATAGATACAGTGGATTCCATTTATGTGAGCGAAACAACCCTAGTTCTGATGTGTCCCAAATAACCTAACTTCACTGTATAAGGTAAAAATTAAAACATAAATAATGTTGAGCACTTTGGCGTCGAGGCTTCAATTGTTATTAACCTCAACATATCATTTCAGCGATACATTTGTAACTAGACTATTTTCGAATGTGTTAATTAAATAAAAATTAGATGAAAGTTACCTTTCGTATATCAGTCATAATATATCATATAGTATCGTCATTCAATATAATAAAATTAGGAGTACTAGTTGAATACAATTAAAGAACAACAATTAAAGACAACACTTAGAAAGCAAACTTTCTTTATGTCAATATTTTTTTCATCCTACTTCATGTTGAGCTATAATTGTCAACATTTTTCACAAATATTTAAGTATCCCAAATGGTACTTTTTTCAAACTTTTAAAAAAGTTACTTTTAGCGATTCTGAACTACTACATGTTAATTTACAGCTGATATTTTGAAACTCATAAGGTGGATGCACCAGTAAATAAACACGTACATATCTACTTGTGACTGAATACTATGTATGTACACATAAAAAGGAATAAATTAAGTATTTGTTTTTTTAAATTTCTTACTTCATATTCAATCAATTTTCGCGTCATTGGTTACAAATGTTCATTTACTTAAATTATTCATTCACCTTTGTATTTTCTCTTGTTAATTTAATTAATTACATCTTTTCAATTTTTCAAATTGATATCTATGCATTAGAAAAAAGTATAGATATTAAAAGAATCTAATTTTCGTGTGCTAAATTTTATTAATATTATTGTCTCTATTAAATCTCTCTCTAAATATAAAGTATGATAAGAAATCATTTTATTCCGAATTTAATAAATATATAACCTAAGTAATAAATAATAAAAAGACATTCAAATATTTGAAAAAACTGGTTCACCTACTTAAGGATCGATACATTAGTCAATGCTTGAAATACCTCGTTATTTTACGTCTCAAATAGTTTATAAATGTTCATATATACACAAATATTAAGTAAAATAAACCACAGTATATTCCAACATAAAATTTAAAGTAATAACATAATAAATAAAGCCATTAAAGGTTATTCATTTATAACAGGTTTTCTGAGACTACTGGTTCATGATAAAAAATGAAAATCATTTCTAGCAACGTCAAGAAAAAAAATCGCTCGAAGCGTTTTCTCTAGCGTCCTATCACTCAAAGAAATATTATTAACGTATCTGAATGAAGATAGAATCGTGAACTAGCTACAAGATACAATTTGTCCGCTATAATTTGTTTCTGCCGCTAATTATCTCGTATATCTTTTCCTTATCTGTCAGAAGCGATCCACCGCATCCTGTGCTTTCAATTTGCACCGCTGCTAATAGTAACCTTCGTTTTATTGGACCGTGCCCCGTAATCGTGTGAAACTTATTTGAACACTATAAATCATGCAGAGATCGCAAACGATTAGGCTGCGTGCCGCAAATTGAAATCTCGCAGGTGCAGTAGCAAATACCAGCTGAGATACCATTTCCTCGTGTCTGTATGCTAGCCGGGAAACGCGTGCAAATCAAACGGTGTTCAATTCCTCCCTGTATCTGAATTTCAAGAAACGAAACGTCTAACATACGTATCCCCGTTTGTTGCAGGTTACCACAGCTTGCCGTTTTAGCGAAGATTTTGTGCCTCCTGATGGTACGTATCTCCATATACATATATTTTTTTCTGGAAAAATTAATAAACTAGGCGAAGCAACGTTTTTGATTTCAACTATTCCACCTGTTCAGTTTCTGGATTACATCATTCTCAGTAGTGACACATGCTTTTAAAGCGTTGTTTCAACAGATCGGACCAGTGTCATGCTGCAAAAGAAATCAAACATTTGTCGGTACCTTATATGTAGTCTTAATAAAACATGCCCCTGAAATGTTTTTGTCAAATTCCTAAAAATCATTGTGGTACGCGACTTTGAAACGAACGGTGCACGGAATGTAATATCTCCTTCTCAAACTATAAACGCGTTATTCTCGAAATCATGTACTTCAGAATGGCGTACAAAAACACTAAAAAAATAATTAACCGATCAACTCGACACTTTGCCTTTTCTTTTTCACGTGGTATTGGAGAATGAACCTAACAAATTAGGAAAATTATATATATATTTTTTTTTTATTAGTGCGAAGTACAAGACAAGTCAGGAAAAGAACTCTGATACCTGAGTTTCCAATTGCTACTGTTTTTATCATTTTCATTCGGGAATTTTAAAGTTAAGTTCATTCTGCAATTATAAGCATACAATTTATCGAAATATTTTTTTTTTATTTTATTTGAGATGACCAGAACAGCCATCATCATGCACACCAAATGTGACGGTTTACTGTGCAAACTTGGATTTGAGGACATGCCACGTGGGAAATTATAGTTTAAATAATAATAAAACTGGTAATTGATAGCTCAATGCCTTAATAAATATACAAAGTTTCACAAGATTCAATTCATTGAGTTTTGCACAAATGCGCTTCTTTTCATAGCGTTAAATTACACCTACACTATGTAGCGTAACACGTTATATGCATAACAAAATTGTAAAACTTGTTACAAATAGAAAAAGAAAAATTTTATATAACATAATGTTGTATAACATTTTTCGTGTTATATAGCAAGTTATATGTTATCCATCAAGTGTGACGTCATTATTAATAATGATGTGAGAAAAATTATACAAACTTGTTACAGATTTATCCAAATGGTAAAATCTTGTAACAAGTTATAGAAACATGTTCTATGACAAGGTTATACATATATAACAATTTGTTATACAGGGTGTCTCAAAAGTGCCTCTCTTCCGGGAAATGAGGGGTTGCTGGGGTTATTTGAAACCACTTTTTCCTTAGCGAAAATGTTAGGTACGGCACCTAACATTTGAAAAAAGTGGTTTCAAATCACCCCAGCAACCCCTCATTTCCCGGAAGAGAGGCACTTTTCAGACACCCTGTATAACACTGTCTTGCTGTACGTACAATATGTATACACGCAGCTTCACATTGGTCTGATCACTTAAAGATATAGCCTTAAGCTGAAGAGTTTAAGAAACAAACTCGATTAAATTTCAAATCGATATCTCTACCAGAAAGACTCCTAGAAACTTCCACAGCAAGCTTTTACTTCGGATCGTTTGTGTGGCCCGAAAGGTTTAATTGTTACGTCTCATCCAGATTCTTGTATCCTTATTTCTTCGGAATAGAACTGTTCCGTACAATAAACCGTGGAACATAAATAACCGCGATGGGAATACGAATTCCAAGTAATACCACTCGTGCATTCGGAAGAGATACGATCGTTCCACTGACCTGCACGATTCTGTTCAAAAAATAGTTCCAGCCGCGCATAGTGTTTCCACCGTTGTATTCGTAGTTCAAGGTAAATACTGCTGACCCGGTTACGTTGCCTTTAACGAGCCGTGTAAAATTTGAACGAGGGCTTTGGCCGCGTTCGTGCAGAATCCGTAAACTCGCATACCTTACTCGTTCGATGGATACGGGAGCGGAGACGTGCCAGAGCTTTGTTGTACAGGGACCAGTGACTAGGTCAGATCAAAGATACACCCCGTTGCACGAAGGGGTTCCGAGGTTCGGGTTGGATCGCGTGCCGAAAGTCCGTCCAAGGATCTGGTAAATCGACGATTACGTTGATGCGCACCTTACCTGTCATAGATTAATGATCAGCGCTTCCACTCCTACGCGGTTGAGGGGGCCGGCGGTTTATACGACCGCTGCCCTTTGTCGGTTCCCGAACTCTTTGATACCTTGTCGTGTATAATGTCTCTCGATGATTTGTGTCGCTGCGAGTAACCATGTCCATAGCAGCGTCTAGCCCTACCCAATGGCAGAAAGTATCGAATCAAATGGTTTAACGTGATTACTGAAACAACTATTTATTAGGTGTACGAATAAGTGGTCCTTTATAATTGTAATTTGTAATAAGAATGTGACACAATTTCAATTCAGGTTAGCTAGCCTGATCTTTTGTATAGCCCAAATAACGTGGGATCTTTAAAAGAGGTAACGGATATTATTAAGGTGGCGTAAATGTTTGAGTTCTTCCCAAAGAAATACTAAATTTTTTCGAGGTATAGTGGATTATTTATTAGATACAAACGTGTTAGAGATAGAAGATGCTGTTGTATATAGTATATGTATAGTGCTTCGCAAGCTAGTAATTTCGGACCACTTGTATTGCTGTCTGTGTTGATTTCAAACAACTGCATAATAAGAAAGTACAGTTGCATCTACCATTTTCATAACGTCCATTCGTCAAACTGCATATGTAATATTAATCTTTGGAATAGAGTTCCTTATAAATATTTAATGGAAAATGTATTCAATAAAAGAATAAATTGCTGCGTTATCAGTATTAAATCCCTATTAATTATGTAATTATTATTAATATTCTTCTATCATTGATGGCCATCTGCATAAACTTTTATTCGAATGTATCTAATGCAGACAAATAGAAAATACTTGCATTTTGAAATGTTCGTAATAATCGAATGATTATTTGTACGTTTGTAACAAACAGAATTATTTTACTAAAATCATGTTACAATGATTGTTCAAGTGATAAATTACATTATTTGATTAAAAGTATTTTTCACATAGATATATGTATATTAGTTTACTTGATGAAACAAACGATTATATTATTCTTTATTTAAATGACTGTGTTCAGAAATAATTTTCCGAATATTTCCTGAAATTTTTGTTCTTATTCCACTAAAATATTCGAAATCAAGTACTTCGGGATAAAGACAAATGTGCATAATATCCACAAATACCGCTGTGCAACATTGAGCTTTGTACTTACATCTGTAAGTTATTTATTAGCTTATTCGACGTGATTAATTTAAATGCTAAAGTGATAAAAAAAATATCTTGTATTCTTGTTTATGTCCAATATGCATATTTCTCCTAGAGTATTCTTGAGTCATAAAAGATGATGCGTTTGTGATTTTTCAGTATCGGAAATATTCTTTTTTATTTCTTGCTTCCCATATTTTACATCCACATCTAGTATAGACTTTTGGGTATATTTAAAACTACATTGATCACTTTATAATACGAACAGAATATCAATAATTCACGAATACAGTATTAAAACGAAAAGGTTATAAATAATGGATATCGACTGAAATATCAAGTACCTACTACCTGTCGTACGTAATTAACTGCCATATCTTTCACATATTTTTTTAAGTACAACTATGAAATTATAGTAGTTTAAATACGATATCTCAAATGCGATGTGGTAGCAGCAAAGCGTTACGCATTTCGTTTTAGACACAGTTAAGATCTACGATCGGAACATCCTGAACGATAAAGGGCGACAGCTGCGATAAGATTGTAGCGAGCGGATTCGAGTCGTATTTAAATGAAGTTTATATGTCTCGATCTGAGTTGTGAGCGGTAGGTAGGTAGAGTAAAAGCTTGTTTGGTCTAGTAGCATAATAGTTGTACTTCTTATTGAAGTCATTCTGAATACATAAATTCTAGTAAGCGTCAACAACGAACTATTGCTTTAACAGTATGATAAAATTGCAAAAGATTTTTCACAACTTGTTTCACACAGGTTTCTATAGCGAACAAAGGATCGTCGCGATGGTAACAGGAACTTTATTGTCGCCAATTACAGATCTTAGACTATATTGTCGTAGCTCGGAGCGCAGCTATGTAAAATTCCATCGCGTGCAGCAACCTCGTTGTTAGAAAAAATTACAAACCGCAGCCGTGTGCTTAGTATTTAGAGGATAGGAAAGTGGCGAGTTCGTAACGGTCAGGTTTATCCGCAGTTTCAAATGCGATCGGTTTCCAAGAGAAATTGCTGCAACGTAAGTTCCGATCGCAACATTCAATGTACATTTGAATTCTGTTATCTACTACGAATGAATACTTATGAAGATGCTTTACTGAGCTCAAACATGTGCTACAAGGTATAAATTATGGAAAGATTGACCAAGACATTAATTAAAAATGAAAGTAGAATATTTTAGACATCTGTGCGTACAAACAAATAGAAAGAAAATATTGAATAAAAAAGTCTATCGAAAAATATGTACATGGTTTCAAAAGTTCATTTACGAATGTCATACTAAATTTAAAATGTCTCTTTAAACAGTTGGGTAGATAACAGGGTAGTTAGAACAGTTGAAATATTTTGCAATGTATTTAATTCGTACAGTATTGACATCTAACATAGTCTTCGTAGGTGTTCAATAGATAAATATATATAAGGGACATAGTGACTTTTTAATAGAATTTACAACAACTAACCAGAAATTTGTCATAAATAAAATTCGTAAGTTAATGGTTTTTGAAATGTTCAATTTTAATACATTTACTGTAAATCATACTAATGTCTAATCTCTGAATAACGTATTAATTACTTTTATTTCCACTTTCAGTGGTAGACATATAAGTAAGTTTAAGTTAGTAATTGTAATTGTCTTACTTTGGACGTATTACTGCGTTTTTTCAACGTGTTTCTTGCACCAGGCAATTTTCCTTAGATTTGCTACAATCCTATGCTAATTTAAAATGTCTCCTTAGCACTTATTCATATGCAAATTCAATCCATATGTGCATGTGCACAATCGATAAGGCGTGATGTCAAGTTACTCCACAGTTAGTATAATCGTGTAGGAAGTATGTACATGACTGTCTGAACCGAACATTTAAAAAATGATTGATTTATCGACTCATGCTTATTAGGACTTGTGTACTTATTTTCTAAGTTTTATTAATCAGATAACCGTTTGTGTTGTAACTTTTCTGCCTAGACTTGTTTTGTTTTACTAAGTTCTTTCTGAAAAAAGATATGCAAGATATTAGCTTGTAAATGAAATATTTCTGTTTGGCAAGATTAAAGATCAACCTTTCTTGTTCTGCTTTGTTAATGTTTGACGTTTCAACGGTCCGTTTTCAACATTTTTCTTTTGACAAAGTTAAATGACAGAACGAGGTAAACGGGGATGTAACATGTTCAATCGGATTAAATTCATTTTTCTCAACAATACTGTCTTTTATGTGACATCCACGATGAGTCAGAACTGAATTATATGTATAATAGTTTCCAAACTTCTCACAGGTATAAAATAAATATCCATTTATTGTCTCAAGGAAACTGTAGTTATATATAATACATTTATACCCACTGAAATTATATTTGTTACATTCCATTCTCCCAAACTACAGCCACACATAATAAATTATGATTTTTATGCATAGGTATATAGAAATGCAAACATAAATTGAAATTGCGCAATTATTTCCATTTTTAGCGTGACAATTCTTAATTGCAACGCTTTGTGGAAAAGAACATTGTAATTTTCAATTCGGTTGGATATCATATTTGTAGTAAAACATCATACATGGGTGTAGCCAGGTTATCAGAGGGGGGGGGGGCAAAAATATTAACACATTGATTGTCACAGTAACAACGTCCATATGTAGCCAGACACACTTTATTTTGTTTTTAAAGTTAGAAATCGTTGAAAATGTATGCGTATTTGTTAATAGAAGCTGTTAGTCGTGTTTCAAATTATACTGCAATATTACATATTACGCAAAAATTGTTTAATTCTTGGATGGGGGGGCAAAATCCAATTTTTTCTTGTAGAGTGGGGCAAAAGCCACTTTTTCCGTTCAGGAGGGGGGGGGGGCAAGTGCCTTGGCTACGCCCATGACATCAGATATCTCTTCTTTGTGGGAATTATTCTCGAATCAAGTCGGTCCCTGTAATTGCGAAACACCCTGCACAGTCGATTTGATAGTATAAAGAGCGCCGTCTTACCATCGTAACATTGTTACGACGCCATTTTGAAATAAAAGAAGTGTCAGATTCCACGGCCATTAATGGACAGCTCGTGTTCGCTCGTTAACAAAATTTGCCATCACTATACATCTTTTGTAGTTCCCGCTGTAACGACGTTCCTCTGTCTTTCTTCTGCACTTCAGATTTTTACTCCCGACGGATGGATCGCTGAAGAGATTCGCAGTGAACGACTCGACGAATGATTCGATGCTGTGATATGCGAATCCCCCCACCCGTAAAAATGTTCTTGTCCGCGGTCGTGAAAGAGTGATAACGTCCTTAACGATTTCGTTTTCAGTCGTCGCACTGAGAACACGTCTAGCGAATTCTTATTTGCTTTGGCATCCCTTTAAAAATTAGAAGAATAAGGGAACTCTAGTTTTTACGACGATGCTGGTGCTAATCATTTGTCAAAAAAGAAGCAAGCAGTAATTAAGTTTTCGGTGACATATTTAAAGTTGTTGAAATTCTGTGACTACATATTTAGTTCCAAAGATGAGCAAATTGATTACGCGCATAAAGAATTTCGAATAACGAATAAAAGATGAAAATGTACTTCGACATTTTTAATCGATTAAGCATGGAAATTCCAATTCTTATAATAAAATCATACTGTTTCGTGAATGAATACATACTTGACAAACAATTATTTAATCTCGTTAACTATTTAAACGTCTGGATAATGCTTTTAGATATGTACTGTTGACTTTTACCCTGTATTATTGGAATAAAATTATGTCCAACTCTGTTTGATTTATTGCATTGTCGCGTTTTTGAACGTAACCTTGTTTACATGGACATAAAAATAATGGTCTGCCTCGTGATAAAATTGTCTATGTTAATTATTGTTCTATTACCGTATCTTAATAGAAACTGCAAATATACAAAATGTGTTCACAGAAAATTTTAAATATAAATATCCACAGTCCTCTTAATGTACCATCAAAATATTTCCTAATTACTGTCGAGTGAATTAAACACTTTCGTTGTTTACAAGAATCACTGAAATTCGAAATAGTTATAACCAATGTCTGAAAGATGTTCTTTCAGATTAAATCTTCAATATTCCAAAAAATAATGGTTCCATTTTATTTTTCTCGTTAATTCATAACCTGCTTCGTTCTAAACTTGCTTCTGAACTGTCTGTTTAATTAAAGACTTGGTTCGTTCTAAACTTGTCTTGTCAAGTGACACGAGTTACGTATCTATAAAGTCAATGATCATTTTGCACAGTAGAGAATTGTTTACAATTGCAGGTGGTGATGTGCGGGGCGGTGCCGGCAATGGTGCGCTCCGTGAGTCTGTACTCGACTTGCAGCAGCGGCAATGTTACCGTAATTGGCCGCTCAATCAAAGCCATGGGACGCGATGGTCACAATGCACCTTACCGTAAGTAAGATTATAATTAATTACACGGCTCGAACAGATAAATTGAGTGCAGTATTAAAAACGGGAACCATTCATCGATCTTCACGGTTTCGATTTCACATTAGAAATTCAACGTCTGAATGCGTTTACTATAAATATTGATGATGGTACAGTAACGAATGGTAGAAAAAAATCGAATTAAATCAAGACAACGACGTGTTTATTATTAACGATTACAGTAGGACGCCGCTTATCTGAATGTCTATTACATATCTGAACGTCGATTATCGGTAAAGCCGGCCATTCCAAATATCTATCGATTGTCGGAGCGCAGAACGAATTACGAATGATTTTTGAAAGAATTAGTTTAAACGAACACAAGAAAACATACTACTCGTTATTTTTAAACGAGTTTGAAGTAAATTATGCAACGCTCTAATGGGCTGGATAAGAAATACGTAAAGATAATCCAAGATATGAAATTTGACACGTAGCTGATATTCCTTCATTTATTCTTGTTGAAGAAAATAGTGACTAAGTCGAAGAAATCGGTCGTCATGTGCCGTTCAAATATTTATTTGTGTTATCCTGCCATCTTCCACGCAATTAACGTTCATCTTTGAAAAAATTTCTTCTCTATTTCTATTCGTTTTATAATATTTGCTAGACTTTGGTTCTCCTGAACCAATTATCTGAAAAAGCCGTTTGTGCAAACGGACTTGTGTCCCTTTTCGTTCGAATAATAATCGGCGTTCTACTGTAATACGGTAATTGACTTAACAAACTTTGTAGTGCTCAGAAACACATGCAACTGACGTTTATTAGCAATTAAAATATCTTAGCAAATTAGTAGAAAATATTAAGCCGACGAAAGGAATAACGGTAACTGTCGCAGTTAAATAATGTTAGTATCGCGAGGCCCGTTAAACTGGATATACGTATTAATACGTTACTCGACCAATAATTTATTACTAAGATTTACGAATTTGTACAAGTCTCGCTACGCGACTCCGCCATTCGAACAGCTTCCGAATAAACTTACCGGCGCAACGTGTGGGGTCATTGTACAGAGGAAGATAAGTCGATCGATTAATTGAATCGAATCGGGTAACCGGTCGACAGGCTACTCGACCGTGACGTTATCTTCTCCAATCGATAGTTTCGTAGACTAATAAGGATTCTGAACAAAAGAGTGGCGAACTCCTCGAGGAAATAAATGTCCAGGACCAACGGCACTAAATATCTTAATTTATAGCGATCCTTATCGATCGACCTAGGGTTAGGGTCTTATCTCGTTCGCTTTCGCTACCAAGCGCCACCGTCCGCTCCTCCCAGAGCTCGAGTTTTATCTTTACGAACTAATAACCAAGCTCTATTTCCGCAGAGCCGGATAACGTACACGGGAGGGAAAGGAATGAAAGGAGTAAAAGAAAGGGGTCATCGAGGACTCTGGATGAATTACCGTTGTCCCATTCCCCTCGTTTCGTCGCGATTGTTTTCGACTAGACAATGCTTATCTCGCCTTTGGCTCTGCCGGAACGAGCCAGTACTCGTTTTCGTGCTTATTTATTGGGACCGTTGTTGTCGCGCCTCCATCGCCTCGGGTTCACGGTCGTTTCCCTAGAAATCGGGTTCAAGATATTAATGGAACTTGCAAAGAGTAAAAGAGGAAGAGAGAGCTCCATATACTTAACGGTTTAACGATTCTCTGTAGACGAGATTTATCGTGAATCGCTTATCGAAACGTATAAAAGGGTAATCCGGCGAGAAATTACCCATGAATGCTATCAGTGGTATCTGTGAAATAGGGCATCAAAGTATCCGCGATAGGCGATCCATAGCTTGAACAAATGTAATTAATTGCACAAACTGTTACAGAAATTTCTTTGAAAAAGTTATAAACAACAGGAATAGATTGTGCACATTAATTTACAATTAGTTACGCACGAATATACAAGAGTCATATTTTCGTTCGTTAACGCGAAGAAAATTTTTATTTCCTTAAGATGTTGAGTAAAGATGGGTTTTTAGCCAGAGATTAAATATACTATTCGTATGTGTTTGCCGTGGCAGTCAAAGTATTAAGAACTACCTAAGTTGGTGCACACGATTGTCCCTGTTTTATGAAGTACAACTGAAAATGAGATAACGCCTAACCCAGACCTGTATGTTTGCACTTACTCGGGATCTGTCTTATCTTCTAAACGCATTCGATAAACTTTTAGAATTACAATGTCACACAATCATTCTTTCAATTATAACATCAATCGTAAAGTATATACATACTTTACCTCGTATTTGTATACTAGGATTATATTCCTTTTATTTCAATAAAATAATATGTAGTAATAATTTTTGAAAATCAGTTTTTAAATATTTTCTTCAAAAATTTAGAATTTTTAACATGCGAAAGCTCTAAATGAATTTTCTAGATAAGGATAATGTCCGACAATTGCTTCTACGGGAAGAATTGGGGAGATGATAACTTTTGTTCTGAATTTGATCCAATAGAGTAAGAATTGCTACGCTACGTTTATACTTTTGAAATAGAATTTTTCAACACAATAATAATGTTTTGATTATATAGTAAAAGTAAAGGTCAAATTTGTATAAAACAACGTTTCATACAAAAATAACAAATCTGGCGTATCAAGTATGTATAGTTGGAAGCTGATAAGTTGCCGAGTCTAAATAAGCTGGACGGCACAGGGGCCAGGGGAAAGAATGGTATCTCGCCGGCCAATGGTTAGCATTGCAAGGCGCTACGCACGTCATTACTACGTCATTACCACGTGACTATTCTGTTATCCCCCTATCTCACTTGATCTCGTGTGTCCCGTTCGCTCTCTTCGTTACCAGCAAATTTGATTCGTCGGCAACTTATGAGCTTCCAACCATACATTACATTTAATGAATTATGTTGAAATGCTAATTAAGAGAAGAACACTAGGACTACTATAATAGTAAGTGAAAATATTACAGAATTAATACTAATACACAAAAGTATAGATATTGTATAAACAAATGAAAGAACTAAAAGTTATCCGACTGGTATTTATCTTCTCCGATTAACAGCCAGAACAGACGATACGGTTTTTTGATCAATTCGGTAAGTTTGCCGAATCGATAATAAATCAGCGTTCATACCACTCCGTATCTTCACTGAAAATCCAACTCTCACGTGTATGCTTACTTCCTTTGTTTGGACGTGTGAATGCTGCTTTCGGCTATTACCGATTCAACCGATTTAATCAATAATACTAACACATTAACGTTTGTTGGTGACATACGACGTCATGGACTGGCCAAGCGCTAACACTCGATGACGACAAAAGTCGTTATAAGTGCAGCGATGTTTCCCCACGGTTCTGAAATACATATATTGTATTTTATTGTAAGTACATCACTATTACGAAGCTGCATTACACATTTAAGTAGTGAATAATAAATAGTATCATCAACCTATTTAACACGTTTACTGCGGTGCGGCCCGTGTTTCAGTGCAGCCCGTGTTTCGTTACGGGCTATAGCCTATAACCATACCAGTACGAGGCACATTTGTCCCGCACCGCCAAATTGGAAAGTCCACAAAGAAATCTGCCGCAATGAACGTATTAACAGAATTTGTGTTGGAAGTTCAATTTTCGACGAATTCATTGAATAGAACAATAAGAAAAATAAACGTTCGTCAAATTTTTGTTCTCGACACCACGTAAATAATTACGATTATAGCGGGTTAGTATTCCACCAGGATACCTCGCGGTTACTGTTATCCATTAAAACTTCGGTGACACCGTACCATTTCACCAGTAGTCCGTTGTTGGCCTTCCGGTATTTGGGCGCGATCGTAAATACCGGTACGGGCAAGATTTCATGGGAAAGTCGAATTTTCGAAACGTGTCTCGTAGCCAGTGTCAGAAAGGAGCTGTCCGCCCAATCGACGGCGGCGCGAGTGCGAGGCGGCTCCTCTTCTCGTTCTCGGACGATCTTTGGAAGGGGAGGAAAGGACGGTCTGAAAGGAGGGAAGAAGGCTTGTGCAAATAGAGGAGCCAGTTTTCGCGCCGCACGCTGCGCCGCGTCTGCACCTCCCCGAGATCCATCACTTTCGTCCACCTCTTCCTCCTTTTCCATCTCCTACGTCTGGCCCGCCGCTGCCGGTCTGCCTCCACCTTTTTCCTTCTGGTTACATCTCCTACCTCTCTCGGCACTTTACTCCGCACAACGAGCCTCTCCTAACCGAGCGATTACTCAAGCTCCGTTCGCGAAACGGACCGACTCGACTCCGACTGACTTGCTCTCTCTCTTTTTCTTTCTTTTTCTCTCCCTCTCTCTCTCTCTCTCTCTCTCTCTCTCTCTCTCTCTCTCTCTCTGCACCAAGGGTTTCAGACACCGTGAGAGCGTCCTTGAAGCTTTGAATTCTAACTGCCGAGACCGGGGGTCTCTTGGATGACTTCGTGAATTCCTCCGCGAGTCGGCGGACTCGGAGAGATAATTAGCCTCGCGTGGAAAACTGTTTGTTTGCAGACTGTCCGCTAATTAGTCACCTCGACTTTATGAATCTGTTTTATGACGACGTTGTCCTGTTGGTGTATGTGTTCGAAAATTCAGACGACTAATTAACGAAGAGGTCCTGTCTCTCTACGATATTTGTCGCCAGGTCGGAGTCAATATAAATTGAAGCGATCCAGACTTATTGGGTCGTCGTGATATTGATTCCGAATTTTTCTGTTTTTGAACGTAAACCTTTAATTTCAAAGTGCAGGGAGAACAGCGATGAAATTGGTAGACAGCGTAGGTTCGGAGTACATATTATGACAATTTAGTTCTGAGTTCCTTAATTATATGTGTATATTAATCGTCATATTACGTTAAAGATGAAAAAAAACTGAAAATGAAGATATTACTACGTGCTGCGTGATTAATTAACATTTGTAAGTAACAATTTGTTGTAGTAAATATTTTTCTTAAATATCATACAATAAACATTAATTTTTCTATTTTGTTAAGGGGGGGTGGTACCA